ACGCGATACTCGTGTGGCTTATATTATATTATATTATTATGTACACACGACAATATTATTCAATAAACTACTATAAAACTGTATATAAAAATTACGCTTATTRTAGTGTGGTCAATGTATCGAATCACACACAAATTATCATTATATTATACACTGCGGAGACTGAGAAGACGATATCACTGACACTGACAATGCTGTTGCCACTGCTGATGCTATTGATTCAGGTTCGTCGGCTTAGAGGAATCCCATGTCGAGAGCGTTGTACAGGGCCCGGAGGTCACTGTGGCCGGACACCCGCCAAAATGGAAAGTTCATCTGAAAATAGGAATGAAAGTTAGAAATTGAAATTGAAATAATTTATTACTCGAGTTAATTATTAAGCCGTTAAAGACGACATCGGGATACGGATAGTATGTAATTATAACTAGAGTGCACTTTTTTTTTTAAATTTTATTTACAGAAGTTACAAAAAGCTATTACAATAGTAATAAAATTACATAATTACGACATTCATTAAGATAGAAATCCATTAGTAACAATTCTTTATGTAGTTATCTACGTTTTTCAAGTCTGCGTGGCGGCTTTTTTTCAATTTTATTATGGATTGTTCAATACAAATTGATTCTCTAAACCTGAGATGATGCTAATGCACCTACAACGTGTACTAAAATGTTGATGGAAGCATTTATACATCATTTTTGCTGGTTCAGCGGTAGTACCAACTTCAACTAAGTTATTAGGCTTAAATCGTTTTGTAGGGAAAGATTTGAAATTCTCTATTTTACACAAATCTAAACTGAGACAATTTGTCAGTTTATGTGTATGATAAATCATCATTTAAATATATTTTTATTAAATTATTTAATTTTATTATAAGTTATAATATTGTATAGACTATATCATAGGCAATATAAAAAAATTAAYCTAAATGCTTTTAAAATATCATAGTTGTCTATATATTATATATAATAATTGTACGTAAAAATGTTAAAGTTTTACATTGAAAATATTTTTTAATTAGAATAAAATATCTAAAAATATTGTATTCTTAGTTTATACCTCTAATTTCGTTCACATTCATAATTATATAGTATTTAAAAATTATTCAAATTTAAATATGTTTTAATATTATGGTTCCTGCAGGGTGAATATAAACAGTAATAAATTATATATACATACAAGTTTTTCACTTTTTAATTGTATCAAAAAAAAAGCCAAATCAATTTTGTCGAAAACTGGTTTTTCCCAATAAAAAATCTGTTAATTTTCTATTTTGTCCTCTAAGGCTCTAAGAGTACCAACTATATCCAATTTACTATCAAAAACCACCCTCTGCAATTTCGAAGATCAAAACTTATTTCTACTTCAAACGTTGCATTCAGAATCTTAAATGAATATTTGACTGTAGTTTTTTAGCTTATTGCTTATTTACCTATTTGAAAATAATCAGACCGATCTTAACAAAAATTTCAGACATTTTAATTCAATACTATGGGAAGGCTTAGAAATTAGTTTGAATTACATTAGAAAAAATACCAAGTGCCATAATATCTAATCCACCACTGGTAGGTGGCCCATTACGATCGAATTAATTTACAGAGCTAGGTTCCGTGAACTGAGGTACCTAGACTTTACATTCAAATTGAGATATGACTATATATATAGTATACACAATGCCGTGTTTTATATTTGTTTTTTTTCTCCCAGGTGAAGTCGGGTTATCCAGTGGTTTGAATAAGTAATAATAATTGTTATATTAGTATGCTAATAAGTAATAATAAGTACCTGTCGGGCCGCCCGTTCCTCTTCGGCTCCGTCGCCGATTACCACGTATGTGCACTTTCGGCCGTACCTCTGCACCACCCGATCGAAACACGATTCCTTSGACGATCCGGCTGATGCCGCAGACCCCGCAGTTCCACCTCCACCGGACTTACCACCACCCGCCGACGGTCCACCACCGCCACCTGAGGCGGAGTATACGTTTTCTACAGCAAAGTGTGGCCCGAGCCCGTACAGGAGCAGCTTGGCCAACGCCGGTATCAGGTGTGTGGTGGTGACCAGAACATTGACACAGTTGGGCCTGCGGTGATCGTAAAAATAGTTCATTATAATATTCATTTTAGTTATTAAATTATAATTTATAAGATAATAATAATAATGGGCATTCTCAGTGATGTGAAAATTCTCGAGGATATCCTTAAGCTTAGGAATTCATATAATAATTATAATGTACTGTTATATGTATCTTGAAAACAAATTTTCTACGTTTTTGAAATTTGAGTTCTTAACCTTTGAAAAACAAATTTTTAATTTTATGTATTGATAGTTTTAACATTCTAATAAAATCGAAGTRAAGAAATTAATGAAAAATTTAAGTGTCATTTTTAAGTGAATTTCAATATAACTTCAAATATTTTCAGAAATGTTATCGGATAAATAGGTTAGTTAGGTATAGGTAATAATATAATTGTTAAAACTTAAAATAATAATAATACTTTTGACAGTTAAAACTAAATAATTTGTTTTTCGTATGATTATCTATTTATTTAACAGTTACACAGACTAGAGATCACTTACTACTTACATTTTACACAACACGCGGTTACAAAATTGCCTATATAGTACCCCTTAAAATGATCAGTTTTTAATCCTCTTAACCAAGAAGAGAAATGAAAGGTTTTTGATGGTGAGCTTCGTCATCCAAGTGAGAATTTACTGCGGGTATCTTAAATATAATAATATAATTGGAATCTAAAAGTTCATATAAGTATGCAAGACGGGGAGTAGAGCTGACAGATCCAGAAAGGAAACATTATGATAGCGACGTTGGTCTACATAGTAGGAGAGATTTAGATTTACGGTAGTAAAGTCATTCTGAGAGCAGCT